GCACTTTTTGACCATGCATATTTATTAAACACATAATTAAGTTTATGCACATATAAATTAAACTAGCATGGCCAACTTTCCGTATCGAGAAATTCCTTCTTAAATAAATAATTGTATGAATAAAATATTGAAATATTCATTTTATATTTCAATATTTGACTTTAATTGATCAATATACAGTATTTTTTAAACAAAAATTGTGAAGAGATTAGTGACAAAAGTGACTAACAATTTGTAATATAAAATATGGCATCATTTTATATGATTCATGTACCAGTTTATTAAATGGTTAGGAGTTGTGGGTTGGGTGTAGGGAATTGTGTTATATGTCACACGCATTATATCAAGAGGTAAAAGGTATGTTGAGCTTTGTAATTCCCGTATTTATGACCCAGTTTATTACCTTTGTACGATTATTGCCTAGTGATGCGCTATATATAATTTTATTACGATGAAATTTATTTATTCTTTTTATTTGTAAAAATGAATTATATCATAATAATTATACAAAAACAATTCTGACTTAAGAAAAGAAAAGTTTCCCAATAAAAGTGGTCACTTCGGCCGAACCCGAGGTCACAAAACAAAATTAATTACATAATCCGATTCCTCATTGAAAGGTCTAATAAAGTCAATCAAAATATACCAGTGGCCATAATACGCCATTTCGGCTGTTTCCTTTATCTATGTTAACTATTTGTATGTTATCAATTACGCCACCATAATTCACTTTGTTAATATGGTACTTTAATGCTCGTAAACTCTCTACTTGTAAAAATCTTTTCCAGTACCTTGTGATTATTTAATAAATTATATAGTTATATTTATTTTTATTTTCTGGGTGTATTATTAAATAATAAATCATACGTAATTTATTACACATGTATTTTGTAGCATTAAATCCGGATTAATATATATTTTGTGTGTAATTATTATGAACAAAGCTCAATGCTACAAATAAATACAATAAATAAATATCATCGTAATAAAATTATTTATACTGCATCACTAGGCAATAATCGTACAAAGGTAATAAACTGGGTTATATTTCACTGTATGTTATTTCACTGCTCTTTAACTCTGGTTAGGCGGCGTGCACAAAGTACATACGCACTGGAAGGGGGGGGGTTATGCCAAAGCCTATGTCACNAAAATTGTGCCCTCTAATTTGGTATTCACCCTGAGTCTATATTAAAAAATAATATATAAATTTATTTTAAGCATTTAGTGTTAATGATGGTGAAAAATATGAATTAATTTGACAATTATAACTTAATAAATATAACTAACTTCGAGTAATAAACTCTCATAACATATTATTTCTTGTTAACTAATTGTACAGTATGCTATCTAATCATATTTAAGTAACTAAAAATTATCTGCCTTATATCATAATTCAATGATTACTATGACAATAGGCATTGTAATAGTGTTTGTTTCAAACCACACCCAAAAACTTCGTCTTAATTATAGTTAATGTCTAATGAAATACAGTTTTAATGAAATAATTTTCTAATTGTATGTAAAATATGGACCAAAAGAATGTGACAAATATGTCCACTCTATCGGCAGTGGAGTCCAGTAATAGCCGATCCATACATACAAGTGATGTGAAGCCTACGGAGGAACAGGTGTCCAATGATTCACAAAATGAAAGACAAGTTTTAACGAAAAAATAATAATAAATATTTTCCAATCGATTCACTTATTTCGTGTCTTCGACGACGAGAGAGGTTTACATATATTAATAACGAGTCGTTACAAATATTTTTAATAAACTAATTGTACAGTATTAAACTGTAATTTGTTTTCATTTAAAGTGATTATAAAATACCCGCTAGTTATGAATTTTATTCTAAGTAAAACCAGGGTAATATTAGTAATATTTATAAATATTTGTGAAATACAAATGAAGACTTTATGTGAGAAATTAAAATAATATATATTTTTAATAATGTCATCAATATTAAATATATTTCCAATTTGTGAAAATATTCCACAAAACCTAAAGGATCAGATCAAATTATTCCACGTATTTTATCAACGAAGCGAATTTACAAATGTACCCGGTGGTTTCAACATATTATTTTCCACCAATGATGACATCGTATATGGAATGGGGTCGAATAATTATGGTGTACTTGGATTGGGTCACAATAAACTAGTTGACTCACCCGTCATAATCGAAGGGTTATGTCAGAAATATATTAAAAATTATTTTATCAGTGATACTTTCATAGTGGGATTAACGCGTGACAACCGCGTATACGGTTGGGGAAGCTATATGTATGGCGTATTGGGCAAGGCGCTTACAACAGATGACAATTATTTAACACCTGAATGCGTAATCTTTAGTGACAATGCTGATATTTGCGATATAAGTTGCGGAACCCTTTGTTCTTTGGCTTTAACGTCAAATGGCGAGGTATACGCGTGGGGAGACAATTTAAAAAAGGACCATGTGTTCAAACCTTATAAGATAGTGTTCTCGGATAAATGTAAAATTAAATCGATTCATTGCTACAAAATGCTGAAATTCGCAATAACATTAGATGGCCTAGTATATAGTTGGGGTGACGATCAGTATTATCAATTAGGTCATGAGAAAGTGGGATTCCAACCTAGACCAAAAATAATAACAAATATGCTCAACGTTAAAAATATTACCTGTTGCGATTATATAACATATTTTTTAACTAGTGATGGTTTAATATATAATTGCGGCAAATACCAAAAGAACAACAAAGATTTTATTAACAAATACCCAGTGTTGCTGAAAAAAGATGTTCAAATTATTGAATTTGTAAACTGTGATACCATTAAACCTAGCAATTGTTGCTTTGCAAAAGGTGAAAACGAGTTTTACACAATTCATACAACAGATTTTATAAAATCGCGTTATTCAAACATTTTTGAAGCTATCGCCGATACGTTCAATGAGACATTTAAAACAATAAACATACAACAAATTCCGCAAATTGAAAATAAGTTAATTGCTACAACACTTGCTACTACTAAAAGTCAAAATGTTCATAATTTTAGAGGTAAATATTTTTAATAAAAATTTTAATTGAAAAATTGTATGCTATATAACTAAGGATGAAAATTACATGTAATTTATTTTTTCACTCGGTAACTTACGTAACTTACGGTAACTTACGGTATTTTTCGTAAGTTATTATTTCATCACATATAAATATTTTTACGCAATATTATTAAATAGTGAATATAAAACAATTAATTTTTACATAAAAACAATATAACAATAATAGAATTGTTAATTAAATAAACAAATTTAACTGAATTCATTTATTTTTGAAAATTAAGTAAGTTAATGTAAATTTTAAAATTTATTAGAGTGAGTTTCAGATATTTTGCCAATAGGTGTCGCTAGTAATGGGTTTGTAAGTTACATGTAAGTTATTTTTTGTTTGTAACTTACACGTAAGTTACGTGTAAGTTACAATGTAAGTTACGTAACTTACAAGAGCTTACATCTCTATATATAACTCAATGAAAACGCTAAAAGAAACCATATACTAATTAAAAATATAATATATTTTGAATGTTAACGTGATTATAAAATATAATGTAGGATTTTTTAACTAAATAATTTGGAGAGTACATTTAATTGTTAGTAAAATGATTTACATACAGGGTAGCCGGTAATTAGAAAATACCCTTTTTATTCTAATTCATTTTAATACCGTTAAGTTTATTTAGATATTATATACATTATAATAATCCTGAATAGTTAGGGTTTTATATGATATATAACTTTCCAGTGTTATTCTTAACCCGAATTTTACAAAAAAATTTAATTAAAAAGTTACCATAATTTTGTGTTTTTGTATTCAATTCATAGATATTTGTGCATAAGGTTAAATTTTATTCAAATTATATAAAACCTTAACTATCTAGAATAATTTTAGTGTATCTTTTATACAAATAAACTACAGGGTATTAAAATAAATTAGAATCAAAAGGGTATTGGTAATTACCGGCTATCCTGTATTATTATTATATTATATAAGATTTTTAACTTAAATAACCTAAATTTCAATATATCTATTTACCGTTTTACCAGGAATATATTTTTAATTAACAATTCATGAGAAAAACAATGTTAATAATAATAGTATTATTATAACGGCATTTATTTAAATATAATAATTATATCTTTTAAGAACATAATTTCGAACGGAAATTTAATATCCTTTCATATATTGGAGCTGGCTCATTTGGTAATGTATATAAAGTACAAGATAAGGGATCCCCAAAAGAGATTTATGCTATAAAACAAATTAAAATTGAAGGTAAATCATTTAACATTATCTAAAATTAGCATATCAATATTAATAATTACACTTTAATTGTCAAAGTTCAAAATAATTTGACATTTAATATTGATAATGTAATATTCAAATGTTATATCAATTAATTGGCACAGAATTTGAAGATTTAAAAAGTTGTCTTGAGAAAAATTTTAAAGTATGTGAAGAAATAGTTAAATTAGAAATGATAATATCGCCGTTTACTGTTAACATATATAAAGTATGGTTTGAAAACAACTATTCATATATTGAAATGGATTTTTATTCACAAAACCTTAAATCTATTATCGAAAACAAAGGGCGGGTTTTTGGTCGTAATTTCGATGAACCGATGAATTTGATTGAGTATTTCATTTCGTGCGAAATATTTAAAGAACTCTTAGAATGTGTTCAGTATTTACATGAATACAAAGATCATTTTGTGTCACAGATCATTCACAGAGACCTCAAACCCGACAATATATTGATCGCCGAAAACGCAAGAGAGGGTCGATTCGTGAGAATTTGTGATTTCGGTTTGGCTGCACTTCATAATTACCTGAATCCTAATCACACGGGTGGTGTGGGTACTGTTAGATACATGGCACCTGAAGTTAGGATTAGTCATTTGAAATACACAAATAAATGCGACATTTATAGTCTAGGAATGACTACGTATGAATTGTTCTGTATAGATTATGAAATGTAAGCGACAAAATATTTTAATTTCATTTTCTGTTTAAACTATAATTACGTCAATATATTTTTTATTTATAATTTGATTAGTGGCAATAATTTAAAACATCTCGAAATAAATGGGGAAATAACAAAAATGGAGATAATATTGGACTCCATGTGTGAGGTCATGCCCTATAAAAGACCCGATTGTTCACATGTATTGTCACAATATAGTGAATGGGTTATCGATTGCAATCGAATCACTGAATTGGAAAATTTCAACCTAATATTAAACAATTTGAAAACCCAATGTGACACAAATTTTTATTATAATTTCTTAATTGACAAGGCTAAATTAAATTTCACTGAAATTGAGAACACTTATTTTAGTTCATTTGAAGAATTAGAGTTCATTGGTAAAGGATTATATGGTTACGTGTGTAAAGTGAGAAATAAAAGCACCAATGACATATATGCCATTAAAATGATTGAACTGACAGGTATTTAGAATTTTGTGTTACAAAATCACTAATTTATTTAAGAATTTATATAAATCACTTTGTTTTGACAGGTTTAAATTATGATAAAACTCAACAACTACTTAATGAGCTTGGCAAATTAAAACAAATTACCTCGAATTATATAATAGAATTGAATGACTTGTGGTTGGAGTCCAAAATCATTTACATACGAATGGAGTATTTTGCGATAAATCTTAGAGATTGTATTCATCAAAAACAACAGGAATCCGATCGACAACCGGGTCATGTCATGGATGTGTCCGAGTATTTCACTTCGTATCATATATTCAAAAATATCTTAGAATGCGTTCAATATTTGCATGAATTGAATCCTCAGATCATTCATAAGAATATAAAACCTGAGAATTTTTTATTCTATAATAAACCAGGTCACAAACCAGGTTTTAAAATTAGCGATTTTTACATAAATTGCAACATGATGAAAAATAGCGATGATAACTCAATGATATATACGTCACCTGAATTACTATCTGAATGTGACAATATAACATTTCATACGGATATCTATAGCTTAGGCGTAATTGCCCAGGAGATATTTGATTGCAAATTTGAGTAAGTAAACATTATTATATTAATACAGGGATGACATTAAATGACTCCCCTACTTTAAATTAAAATAATTTTA